CCATTGGAGAAGAATTGCAATCAAGAAATTATCAAAGTCTAAGATATGAAGACTTATGCCTGCAGCCTGATGTAAAACTCCCACCGGGTAATTTGGTGCCGAAGTTTAATACTTTCAATGGGAAGGGCAATCCCATTGCTCATTTAGAGGAATACTGTAGCAGATTACTTGGTATCGGGCACAATGAGGCCATTCGAACGAAGTTATTAATCCAAAGCTTATCAGGACCTGCACTTGTTTGGTACACAAAACAAGATTTTAGCAAATGGCGCATGTGGGATGATATGGCACACGATTTTGTAAGGCAATATGAGTTCAAACTGGGGGTCGATCCAGACATGCACAGCCCTTACAAAATAAAGAAAATGCCACATGAATCGTTTCAGGATTATGTAATCCGGTGGAGACTTGAAGCTTCGAAGGTGCACCCTCCGCTATCCGAGAAAGAGTTGATATCAATCTTCATTGACATTCAAAATGGCATATATTAGGAAAAGCTGGCTACTGCGAATGTGCACAATTTCTCAGACTTGATTAGAGTCGGGGACTTCCTAAAAAGCGGCATCAAAGAAGGAAAGGTTAGCATGCAAACTATCAATCATGTTTTACAACCAGAGATGCTAGAAAGTTGGAAAGGTAAAGAGAAGGAAAATGCCTCAGTTACCATGACTATGCCTCAACCGCAATGCCATCATGATCACCAGCTCTTGCAAAATCATGCCATCTCTAATGCCCGTAAAATGCATATCCAGCCTCCTCGCCAACAAAGCATTCAACATCAACATCGTCAAGCACAAGTCGCTTCTCGCCAATTAAAAAAATGGAAGCCCCGCGACTTCACACCTCTGAGTGAACCAATCTCTAGCATATTCGCTCGATTGAATTCCTCAGGAATTATACAACCAAGAAAAGGAAGGATTTTTGACCCTTCGCATCCATTATTCGACCTGTCAAAGTATTGTGCTTATCATTCAAACGCTCAAGGTCATGATACAGAAGAATGCCTAGCATTAAAACATAAGATTCAGAATTTAATTGATGCTAACAAACTGCGAGTGCACCTACCAGTTGGAACAAATATCTCAAATGCAATTAGCTGCAGCACAAAACGTCGTTTGGACTAGTTCACCTTGCATTGCTGGTATTATTATTTTGCAACTATCATCATATGAGTAGCTATTTTTTGTAATCATGCCTTGCTTTTGTAAATGACCTACGTGTTGAACTGATTCCCGTTTAAGAGGGGATACGTAGGCAGCCCTATGGGTTCGGTCTCATCATAATAAAAATTCTATTTACCCCAAAAGCCAAAACCGGGGCAGATTTTGCAAAAGGATCCTCATCATTCAGCAAAGCAGAAAATGAAATTCCAAGCTACATATTTGTTACTAGCACAACAGCAAATTCCAGGAGGCCATAGCAACAAGTTGCAGATTCAAAGCCAAACTTCAATATTCAATGCAAGGCAACCACTTTCTTTTATACTAATGAATTTTCTTTGAGTAATGCAGGGGCATATTTTAGCTATTCTTGAACAATATAATACGCTATCGCAAAGCTCAGCATCAAGTCAGAAGTTGCAAGATTCATGCAAAGCAAAAGATGAACCCAAGCCAGTGCAAGTCAAACTTTGAAACTTATAATTTTTCTTTGAGTGCAGGAATTTATTAATAGCAAAGCTTCAGTATGAAGATCCAACGATTGTTAGCATTGCACCAGGAATATTCACTACTACAAAGGCATTTCATCAAGCTCTCTGCATCGCACCATTTTCTATTACAAAATCATTGCACCAAGCTCTCTGCATTGCACCATCAATATATGTTACTTCGAAGTAACCATTCCAAGCTCTTCGCACCGCATTATACAACTACAAATCAAGCATCGCACCAAGCTTCTGCACCGCACCAATGTTAGAAATTGTAAATCAAGCGCCATGCATCTAGGTTCGTCCACCTAATAATAGGACAAAAAGGTTGTCCACCTGATTAAAGGACATGAGGTAGTCCACCTGATTAATAGGATACGAGGTCGTCCGCCTGATTAATAAGACACGAGGTCGTCCGCCTGATTAATAGGACACACGGTAGTCCGCTTGATTAATAAGACACAAGGTTGTCCACTTGATAATAGGACACAAGATTGTCCACCTGATAATAGGACATAAGGTAGTCCGCCTGATAATAGGACACGAGGTAGTCCGCCTGATTAATAGGACACGAGGTCGTCCGCCTGATTAATAGGACATTAGGTTGTCCGCCTGATTAATTGGATACAAGGTTGTCCACCTGATAATAGGACAAAAGATTGTCCACCTGATAATAGGATATAAGGTAGTCCGCCTGATAATAGGACACGAGGTAGTCCGCCTGATTAATAGGACATTAGGTTGTGCGCCTGATTAATTGGACACAAGTTTGTCCACCTGATAATAGGATATTAAGGTTGTCCGCCTGAACAACAGGACACTTTAGCACATATTCACATGCTTTCCATTAATTTATTTCGACCTAGATGGTCATGTTTTAATGTCAATACTAAGATGCATCATTATCATAAATCATTGCAAAGCACATTTATAAACTGCATGTTATTGTTGAAAATCATCATTAGCGTAAAGCTACATTTTTATTAAATTATTTTGGCCGACTAGGCCGCATTGTATAAGTAAACTCCCAAAAGGTGTCATTTCATAAGATTACTTTACTGCACATTGTATTTCAATATTTACTGTACTGACGAATTTGTCTTGCAGGAAACATAGTGCAACATGGAGATCAAGCCAAGTCATCTCAAATTATATTTTGAAACTCATAGTTTCATTTGAGTGCAGGAAATTACTAATAATAGACGTTAGCATGCAAATTTCCAAATTATTGGCACCGCTCCTTGAATATTTTCTTCTGTAAAGGCACTGCATCAAGCTCTCCGCACCATGGATATTCGCTACTGCACCAAGCTTTTTGCATCGCATCCTGAATAACGTTATTATAATTCTGGCACCGTATCAAGCTTTATGTACCATATCAAGCTCTTTGCATCGCATCACATAAATCTTTGTAATTACAAATCAAGCACCATATATCGGGTCGATCCGCCCTCAAACAGGATATTTTGGGTTCATCCGCCCTCAAAATAGGATATCGGGTCCATCCACCCTCAAATAGGATTTATCAGGTTTATCCGCCCTCAAATAGGATATATCGTGTCTATCCGCCCTCAAATAGGATATATCGGGTCTATCCGCCCTCAAATAGGATATACTGGGTTCATCCACCCTCAAATAGGATATATCGGGTCTATCCGCCCTCAAATAGGATATTTTGGGTTCATCCGCCCTCAAATAGGATATACCGGGTTCATTCGCCCCAAAAAAGATATATCGGGTCTATTTGCCCTTAAATAGGATATATCGGGTTTATCCGCCCTCAAATAGGATATATCGGGTCCATCCGCCCTCAAATAGGATATTTTGGGTTGACCGCCCTCAAATGGAACATATCATAGTCGTCCGCCTTTATACAGGACATAGAGCTAATCCTCCCTCACACATGACATCAATTTATTTTGACCCGAGTGGTCCCTCTTGCATAAGCATTGCCAAAACATATCTTTCATAAATCATTGCCAAATGCATTTATTTTCATAAGCTAAATTTTCTTATGGCGAAGCAATCATAAAATATATCACCATAAAATTATATTTTTATATGCTTGCACAGTAAATTCACATTTCTCATGAATTGACCTCTAGATATTTTTTTCATAAGATTATTTTTTATGGCACATTGCATCTTATTTCCTAACGAATTATCTAGTATATCAAGCTTTGCAGGAAACATAGCACAACATGAAACTATATCTTAGCATTGAACTGGGGAAGTTTGTTGGGGAGGAATACCAAACTCTCCAACAAAGGTCAATGATCTATTTCGAACTCCGCTTGGCCAGACTCTCAAAATTCCTAATCAGATCCTCATTTCAAATATCTTTCTTTCAATCATGGTAACCGGTGTCTCTACAATTCGACACTGGGCAGAATTTTAGAATATGCATCAATAGTTGAGTCCTACTCCAGGGTTCCATAAGTCTTGAACTACATATGACCTGATTCTTGTAAAACCCGAGATATGTAGGCAACTCGAAACCGGAGTTCGGCCGCAATCATTTTTTTTACGCCCCTTTGTCCCATTCCAACCTTGATGGTCGGGACAAAATTGGCTACTATGTAAATTTCTTTTCCCGAAAACTCTTACATCGTCTCCGGTCAAAGAGGGGCAGCTGTTGACATCCAATTTTGTCCGTCGTTTCTTCCAATTAATTTTCTTGAGCTTCTACGTCATTAACAGATCAAATACTTTATTTTTTAGTACTATATTCCATTTACTGTTATTATTATTATTGTTAAATTGTTATTACTATTATTATTTATTATATTATTTGTTTTAACTACTACTACAACAACAACTACTACTACTACTACTACAACAACAATAACAACTACTACTACTACTATTATTATTATCATCATCATTATTAATATATCATTCTTATCGTCTTTTGCGGAAATTGTATGACTTTCCTTTATTTAATCAAATAATAGTATTTAGTTAATTCTATACTTTACAATATTTTCTCTTTATTTCATACTTAATGTAACAGTTATTTTGCAAAATTAAATGCTATTAAATTATAAGTTTTGATAAGACGGGTTGAAGAATTTAATTAGTCATTTAATTTACATGATTAATTAAGAGATTTTAATAAGAAGTAGAAGCCCAATAAAATACACAAGAATAAAGGAGGCTCTCAATCATTTAGCCCAACCCCGTTAGATCAACCCAATAGAAAGAAATTAGGCATACCAAATTTGCTCCAACACTGCCCAATCGGTCGAAACGAATTCCAATTAGCACAAAACCCATAAAACCATCTAGATCTTTAATCTCAACCCTTAATTTCTAGATCCAACAACCAAAATTACTTCTTGTATTGAGATATTTTTTGCAACTCAAATCAGATTAGGGTTTCACTCTCTCTCTCTCTTCCTACCAATGGCACCTCATTCCCATTTTCCTCTTTAGAGCGAAATTCCAATCTTTTCTTCCCAAGAGCAGAACTTTTTTATTCTATTTTATGCAATGTCACTTTCTCTCTCTGAATCTCTTTATTTCCAAGTCAGAGAGCATGAAACCATGCCTATATTTTAAAATTGAATCTTATGGCAGAGGATCTTTTGGAGGAAAAGGTAAAGCTTTTCTTACTCGTTTGTCTTCATCTTTTCTGTCATATCATGAATGCTACTTTGACTTTCAAACGGTTAATTTGAAATCACGCCTAAAGGAAACCCTAAGGTTCGAATCTGCCTATAAATCCTCACATTTGCAAGAGTTGAGGGAGGGCTCGGGGAGGCCACTCTCCTTTCAGATTTACTGTTGTCCATCATCCCTTACTCCTTACCTATTTGCTATAAGCTCTCACAAAGCCTGAGTTCTTTTAGATTTTCTTCGTCTCTATTGGTTCTAACAATAACAGAGGCTTGGTATTTTTACACGTTTGAATCAGTTCTGATTTCGCTCGAAAGAGGAGTGTAGATCCGAGGTCTGCGACCTCCCTAGTTCATTGCCCGCAAAAAGGTCAGTGATTCTTAAAATTCTAATTTTTCTTATTTTCAGGCTTGAATCAAATGTTTCATCTATTGTGAAATGCGATTTAAAGTTCACTTTCTTTGTAGAAAGCATGACTTAAGTTCTGATCGCGTGTACAAATTGTGAGGAATTTTGTATGTTCTGATTATGTGTTAATCAAGCAAGAAATAAGATATTGGCTGAGAACTTATGTTAATATTCTTCTGTTGGTTGCTACTTTAGTTGTTAACCATATACTTTTGCTTCAAATATCACGAGCTTCCCTTTTTTTTAGCCTTTGTTCCGTTGGTTAAATAAATTAGAACATTTCTTGTTGTTGTATGTATTAAGACTTAGGATAGATACTCTTTTTCATGAGCAAAATATGACTGTAAGGTATATTATTTCTCTAGCTTAAGTGCCATACAAAGCATGAGGTTAGAATATTAACTATCTTATTGTTTAGTTGGATATCCCGTTAGTTAGCAAGGAGTTCTTTTAGAAACTATTCTTTAATGAAATCTATGCATAGACTATCATTAAAATAATACTAATGGGAATCTGTTAGTATAACTTAAAGAAGAAGCATTTAAAGATTGATTATTACTTATGCATTCGGACCTTAAGAGAAGAGGAGCATGTTCACATCACTTTCAGGTGTGGTGCATGTCCTTATCTCTAATTTCTTGATACTGTTAAAGGGTAATGTTTAGATTGTGGTTGGTAAAATTATTTACAAGTTGATCTAAGAAATACTTTAAGTATTGCTCTTTGTTGTAACTGTCCTATGCGAATAGCTTGCTCTATTGCAGTTGTGGTACAACTCTTATCTTAATACTTGCATCACCTTTATGCATTATTTTCCTAATTTCTTACTTCCTTTTTCTTTGCATGTCATGCACACCAGAGAAACAAAAAGTCTCAATGCGAGACTCAACGCTGTCGCCACCACGATCACCTGGAGTCTATTAGCATCATGTTATCCTCGGATCGCTGCATATAAATTGCAGCCCAATAAAAATTCATCTGAACAATACTATATTTCATTTTGTTAAATGTTCTGATCTATTGTGTAATCTGGTATCTATTTATAATATTTGGGAGTCGTCTTAAAATTGAACGAATTTGGGATCACGTAGGAGTTGGAAGAATTGCGGCTTCACTCAAAATATTTAAAGTGGTATTTTGGTCAGTCTTTAAATATTCTTGAACAAGATTCTTCCTTTCGAATTAATTCCAAGTTTGAGTCTTGAATCTGTCGAGCTTTTTTTTTCTTCTGGAGTCAAATCTGAATTTGGTTCTAAATTTTCTTAAGACTAAGTAAGTATTTTCAAAATGCCTTAACAGTTCTATTTTTATAAAGTTGAAGGAAAGTTTAGAAGCAGGAATTTACTTACATATTTATCTCACTTTCATCGTTTAATCAATCTTGAGGAAAAAAAAGGGAATCATTTGAGTTTGACTGATGAATTTGTTTTTACTTTGATTAGCTACTGTTTTTGGTAGAAATTAATTAACAAAATATTTTAGTTGTAAGTTCTTTCCTCCAAGTACTTACAAAATACTTAACCATTTTTAATAAGTCTTTTAATGAATTAACTTAAGTTTAGCCGGTCAACCGTATTCATCGGATTATATGGGGTGTCTTCACAACCTTCCCTATAGGATTAACTAGAACCCTTATCTAGAATTTTTAAGGCTAAGTAGACCATAAAACAAAATTAACTTTAAGCATTACTTAGTTAAAATTGGTGTCCTAATCACCATTAAAATAGTTAGGTGGCGACTCTTTTAATTAATTAACCTTGAATTTGCCAAATATGTTATACTCTAGTTTGACTCGTGTTAAAATGGGGTATAACACAGACTGTGAGAGACAGCTAGTTATACGCTAAATTTTCGAAGTGTGAGTTTTGGTTGAGTTCAGTTGCTTTCTTCTGTCACGTTGTATCAGCAGAGGGTATTCAGGTGGATCCTAAGAAGATTGAGGCAGTCAAAGACTGACCTAGACCCATATCAGCTACAGAGATCCGGATTTTCTTGGGTTTGGCGGGTTATTATCGTCGGTTTGTGGAGGGGTTTTCATCTATTGCAGCCTCGTTGACTAGGTTGACCCAGAAGGGTGCCCTGTTCAGATGGTCGGACGAGTGTGAGGCGAGCTTTCAAAAGCTCAAGACAGCTTTGACTACGGCGTTGCTGTTGGTGTTGCCCACAGGTTTAGGGCCCTATACAGTATATTGTGACGCATCTCGTATTGGGCTTGGTGCGGTATTGATACAGGGCGGCAAGGTTATCGCATATGCTTCGCGGCAGTTGAAGATTCACGAGAAGAATTATCTAGTTCATGACTTGGAGCTAGCAGCCATAGTTCACGCACTGAAGATTTGGAGGCATTATCTATATGGCGTGTCGTGTGAGGTGTTCACGGATCATAAGAGTTTACAGTATTTGTTAAAGCAGAAGGAGCTCAATTTGAGGCATAGAAGGTGGTTGGAGCTATTGAAAGACCATGATATCTCCATCTTGTATCATCCCAAAAAGGCCAATGTGGTGGCCGATGCTTTGAGTAGGAAGTCGCCTAGTATGGGTAGCCTTGCATATATTCCAGTCGGTCAGAGACCGCTTGCTTTGGATGTTTAGGCTTTGGCTAATCAGTTCGTGAGGTTGGATGTTTCTGAGCCCAGCTGTGTTCTAGCTTGTATAGTTGCTCGGTCTTCCTTATTTGAGCGTATCAGAGATCGGCAGTATGATGACCCTCATTTGCTTGTCCTTAGGGACACAGTGCGGCACGGTGATGCCAAGCAGGTTACGGTTGGAGATGATGGAGTTTTGAGGATGCAGGGTCGTGTTTATGTGCCTAATATGGATGGGCTTCGTGACATGATTCTAGAGGAGGCTCACAGTTCCCGGTATTCTATTCATCCGGGTGCCGCTAAGATGTACCAGGACTTGCGGCAATATTATTGTTGGAGGAGGATGAAGAACGATATTGTTGCGTATGTAGCTCGGTATTTGAATTGTCAGAAAGTAAAGTACGAGCACCAGAGACCTGGTGGTTTGCTTCAGAAGATTGAGATTCTTAAGTGGAAGTGGGAGCATATCACTATGGATTTTCTTGTTGGAATCCCACGGACTCAGAGAAAGTTTGACGCAGTATGGGTTATTGTGGATAGGCTGGCTAAGTCAGCGCATTTCATTGCTGTGGCAGTTTCCTATTCTTCGGTGTGGTTAACAGAGATCTATATCTGTGAGATCGTTCGTCTTCATGGTGTTCCCGTGTCTATTATTTCTGATCGAGGTACGCAGTTTACTTCGCATTTCTGGAGGGCAGTACAACGTGAGTTGGGTACGTGGGTCGAGTTGAGCACAGCATTTCATCCTCAGATGGACGGACAGTCCGAGTGTACTATTCAGATCTTGGAGGATATGCTCCGCACCTGTGTTATTGACTTTGGAGGTTCTTGGGATCAGTTCTTGCCGTTAGCGGAGTTTGCCTACAACAACAGCTATCAGTCAAGTATCTAGATGGCACCCTATGAGGCATTAGACGGCAGGCGGTATCGATCGCCGGTTGGGTGGTTTGAGCCGGGGGAGGCTCGGTTATTGGGCACAGATTTAGTGCACGATGCCTTGGATAAGGTTAAGATCATTCAGGATAGGCTTCGTACAGCTCAGTCCAGGAAAAAGAGTTATGCCGACCTTAAGGTTCGTGATGTGGCATTCATGATCGGAGCAAAAGTGTTGCTTCGGGTATCGCCCATGAAGGGTGTGATGAGATTTGGGAAGAAGGGCAAGTTAAGCCCTAGGTTCATCAGGCCTTTTGAGATCCTTGATCGAGTAGGAGAGGTGGACAATGATTTGACCTACGAGAAGGAGCCGGTAGCTATTCTAGACCGGCAGATTTGTCAGTTGAGATCGAAGAGTTATCCTTCGATTCGTGTGCAATAGAGAGGTCAGCCTGTTGAGGCAGCTACCTGGGAGTCCGAGTCCGATATGCGGAGTAGATATCCCCATCTTTTCACCGGCTCAGGTACTTTTCTATGTCCGCTCGAGGACGAACGGTTGTTTTAGAGGTAGAGAATGTGAGGACCCAAAGGGTCATCTTATGTTTTAGAACTCGATTCCATGTTCCAAGGTCTTCAAACCTCATTTTATTCCTCCTTGATTTGCGCGCACAGTCCGGGCATGTATCCGAAAAGCTTTTATATGAAAAATTGAAGAAATAACAATTTTTGGCCTAAAAAGTTGATTTTTGTTGACTTTGGTCAGGGTTTTGGGTAAACGGACTCGGACCTGTGTTGTGACGGCCCCGATGGGTCCGTAGTCAAATATGGGACCTGGGTGTATGCCCGAAATTGAATTCCAAGGTCCCTAGCCCGAGAAATGAATTTTTGATGAAAATTAAAAAACTGAAATTATAATGATTTTGAGAAAATGATTAATAGTTGATCTCGTTGGTATCGGGTCCATATTTTGGTTCCGGAACCCGGTACAGGTCCGTTATGATATTTATACCTTATCTGTGAAATTTGGTGAGAAACGGGACTAATTTGGCGTGATTCAGACCTTTGGTTGAGAAAATAGAAATTTTTGAAACTTTCTTGAAAATTTCATGCAATTTGGTGCTAAATTCGTAGTTCTAGGTGTTATTTTGGCGATTTGATCGCTCGAGCAAGTTCATATGATGCGTTAAGGCTTGTGTTCGTGTTTGGTTTGGAACCCCAAGGGCTCGGGTGAGTTTCGGATAGGCTACGGGATGTCTAGACTTAGAAAAAAATCTGGTGTTGGAAGTCGCAGAGTTGTAGGTCTCTAATCTTGGGAGTGCGGTCGCGGTGGGAAATTCGCGGACCGCGGTAGAGGAATGCGGCCGCGGTGAGAACTTCGCGGACCGCGGTGGAGATTTCGCGGACCGCGTAGTGAGGATCAGAGGGTGCTATATAAACATGATTTTTCATTCATTCTTCAATTTTTCAAACCCTAAAACACAAGAGGCGATATTCCAAACCCTTCTTCTTCCCCAAATCATAAGTAAGTGATTCTTAACTCAGTTCTTTCACTCTTTTACTTCTTCTTACAAGATTTCATCCTAGAATCTAGGGTTTTCATGGTGGAATTGGGAATTTTTGGGTAGAACTTAGGAAATTCGAAATTTGGGGATTTAGACCTAAAATTGAGGTCGGATTGCAAAACCATTTGTATATTCGGGCTCGGGGTGAATGGGTAATCGGGTTTTGGGCCGAACTTCGAGTTTTGACCAAGCATGCCCGGGATCGGTTTTTGACTTTTTTGGGGAAAATATTGGGAAACTTATAATTATGCATTGGAATTGATTTCTTTAGTGATAACTGATGTTATTAAGTTAATTAAACTAGATACGAGTGGATTGGAGGTGGAATCTAGAGGAAAAGCGGTAATCGAGCTTTGAATTGGCCGTTGGATTGAGGTCTAACTTTGACTCGAGGGATTAGGGATCCCCGACTTAATTGCTATGTGAAAATCCATGTGTGTGGCGTATAGTGAGGTGACGAGTACCTATACGCCGCCATATTATCTATTTAGCCTATTCCCTTCCCCGTTCCTAATATATTGTTTCCTGTCTTAACTGCTACATGCTTATTGATGCTTCCATGTTTAATTGCTTCTTGTTAGATGTTGTTTTCTTTATTGAAGGTATTAATTGTTCCGTAGTTCATTGTATCACATTATTGGTTTAAGTTGGTTATCGATGCTTCGTGGTACAATTTGGTTGGTCTCGCAGTGTAGTATTAATTGATGAAGTTTCATAATTATATAAATTCCCGTTTGCTTTGGTTTGAGGCATAAATGTTGTGGAGAGTTTGAGCTAAATTGTGAAATTCTTGTTCTTATTGTGTGATTGGTACTGATATGGTGGGATCGGGTTGCACGCCGCAACAAGAGGAATAAGGGTGATATATTGAGGAGGAATAAGGGTGAAATGTGATTGTCCGGTGGGATCGGGTTGCACGCTGCAACAGGAGTAATAAAGGTGGAGAGGTGGGATCGGGTTGCACGCTGCAACAGGAGGAATAAGGATGATATATTTAGGAGCAATAAGGGTGGACAGGTGGGATCGGGTTGCACGCTGCAACAGGAGTAGTAAGT